TACAACTTACATACGGACAATATAAATTTTTGAAAGTTTCAGAAGAATTAGCGTGGACGAACAAAATCGTCATATACGTACACTCAGACACACTGACAGACATCATTATAAAATATTATCCTAATTCACGCTTATTCACTTTCGAATTCTTAGACCGAAAACGTTACTTCTATTACGTATGTAATATAGGTTGGCGGGTGGTAAAAGTTTTAAATCTTTTGCTGAAAATGTCTTTGAATAAAGTCTTTTGAATAACTGTGAGAAAAAATAGCCAGAAATTATTATTTAAAATAGAAGAAAAGAAAAGATCAGTTTTATTACAGATTTCAGTGAAATAAAATGCTTTGGTACGTATTTCAAATTTGAAGTAGATTTCGTATTCCCTTAGCATTTTCAGAAATCTTAAAGAACTCGAGTATTCGTACCCGATTATTGATGAAAAAAGTTATATTTTCCCTTTTATATAACAAATTGTGTTCAGTTTTTCAATCAAATATTTTGGATCTTGTGAATAGGGTTAAAATTTTTTTATAACAGCTACTTTCTATATGAACTCTACTAAAGTAAACTTTTGATTTCACTTATTTTTCTACCGTTAGTAAATAAAACAAAATCACACATGGAAAGAATTCAATTTTACTTTAAACATTAATTTAGATTTATTTTGTAGCAACTTTGAAGACAAAAAATAAATCTATAATTGACTTGCATTAAATTACAATAAATCTGCAAGTAAGTGCATTGAAGTTGGTTGACGAGAAAAATTTAAAGATCACAGAGTTTTTGTTTTCACTGTACGAGAACTATGCATTATTCATGTTTTAAATTAAAATACAGAAAATCTCGCTCTGGTTGCAAACAAAAGAACTTGTACGATTTTCTGAATCAAAGCGAAAGAGAAGTGGTAAAAAAGGAATTCTTTCTAAAGAACAAAACTGGAAGTAGTCCAAGATCCAAATGAACAGCCAAGAGATTCAAATAAACCTTCGCACCTTTTCTACTCCGTAGGTGAGTTGACAAAAAAAAAAAAAAAAAAAAAAAAAAAAAAAAAACAGCTTTTCATGTTTTCACCAAGATGTATAATGTTTATGATGAAGTTTATTCATTAAAGATAATTGATGGCATTCTCTTTACTTTTGTTATGCAAAAACGCAGTACTTCTAATCTACATACATGTTTTTTCTTCAACACATAAACAACAGTTATCGTTCAGCTTCTATTTTGTTCTTTTTCATTGATGTAATTCCACGTTTTATTATATATTTTTATTATTATTAGGTAAAAGTGTATGTAATTATTAAATTTGATGTAGATTTTAAGTCCATTACTTTTGCCGTGGAACTCTAGCATTGATCATGCAGTTGATTTATTTGGTAATTTCGAAGTAAAGGCCTATCAGAAAACGTTAGTAAAATACGTTTACTTATTTATATTTTAATTAACTTCGCAAAACTTTTATTTTTTATATTTTTATTCACACTTTTATTTATTTTACTGAATAAATTCTAATGTCAAATAAATGACCTTATGTAATTATATAATAAAAAATAAAGCGGAAAAAGCTTATATTAAAGACGGGTTACAACAGATTATATGTACGGACATATTCAATCTAGAAAAACAGTTCTGTTGTCTGCTAACTTTAAAATTTTGCGTTTGAACTACAAATTATTACCTGAATTAACTGTATATCTACAAAGATTACTGACAATGTAATATTTGATTACATTTAACAGGAAGAGAAACACGTCAATCTAAAATTTGAAACTGAACAAAAAGTCTTAAATTTTGAATAATTCAAGATTTATGCTAATTCAAGGTTGTTGTTTTCAAGGTTGTTCAAGATTTATGCTGAACATCACTTGCCAGTATCTTGGCATTCATTCAGTTCTGCTAAATAAGAATATAGCACCATGCTCTAAACGTATCGTATAGTTAGAGATGGAGGAGAATTTCAATAAGGACAGATCACAAAAGCTTTCTCTATTAACTGGAAAAATATATTTTATAAAATATGACATCATGAAATGACCTTCCTTACCTTCCCCCCAAAACTCATTAATTTTCTCTTTATTTCTGCTCTTACGAAATTGATTTTGCAGGATATTTATAGAAATAGTTTTTGAAAGTTAAAATATGTAATGCTTAAGTTAATTGTACAATTTTTAAGGAAGTACCAATTCAAAGTTTCGTAAGACTTTCGAATTAGAGACCTTTTCTTGGTTGCGATATGTATGCTATAATACTGTTGTTGTCATAAATTATTCCATTTGCAAATGATATAAATTTGTTACAGAAATTATAAAGAATCGAAAAATGGAACTTCAGACGAAGAGGTGTAGGCAAAGTTTCTTATTTAAATATTTGAAGAAGACGGAGAAAATCAAACCTATATTTCACATATGCAGTTTTTTTAATGACACTGTAATAAATAAATAATAAAAATATTGAATAGTAACAATTGTTAAATATTTTCAGAAGTTAATAGTTGTAATCGAAACACGTGAATTTAAATCTGGAAACTAAAGCGAAATTCAATCTTGCATTCATCAAAGAAACTTTAAGAAATCTGCAATGAATTTTTGTACCTCTTATTTTAGATTATTTCTTTGTGTGTACGTGTAAAATAAAGAAAGGCATAATTTCAGTATCGCGTGTAAATTGCAATAAGCATTGCTGAGCATCAGAAATCACTTAAACACATGCACCATAGCATAAAAAACTGAAGTTTTCCATTCTTTTATGCATTCTTCAGCGTCAAATTTAATGCTGCAGAATGCATTTCTATTTGATGCGATAAATGCACCGCATGCAGTTAGGGAAAAATTTGGCCACTTTTCCACGTTTGAGCAGGGTAGGAGGTAAGCACCCTTTGACCTCTTTTAAGACCAGATGAGTCAAAGAATATGTATTGTTCTTTGGTTGAGTTGCGTCCTCACCCCACACATTTTCTTTTCTCTTCGCCGTTTCTAATATACGATAAATATTTCCGGACAAGGCTTAAAGAAATAAAAGCTAGAGAATCACTTATATTTTGAGAAATATCTTACTGATGTGTATATAATGCTGTGAATATTATTCTGCATGTGTTCAATGTTATTATTTAACTACTTAATCACATTTGCGAGTAGTATTATTCTCAAACCATGTCATCAAATCTGTCCTATGTATATTAATTTAGATACCAATACATGTTTTATTCTTATTAATACAATCACATGTACTACTTTATTCAGTTAACACTCTTTACTCTGAAAATACTCTTTGGACATTCAACTATTAAATGCAGATGTAATTTTATCTCATGATTTCGAGGCTAATGCCAAATGTATTCTTCTGATATGCTATCATTATTTGCAATATATTATCATTCATCTTCTGGTTTGACGAAATAAACACTTCTGAATACAGCGAGTCTCTTTTCAAGTTAAGGTTTTGAAACCGCAATGAAATGGTTTCGCATTTTGCCGCTAGCGTCACAATTGTAATTGAAGCAACATCTGCGTCCTTATAATACAGCGAACGAAATAAATTGGAGTAATTAGGTCAAGTCCCTTCTAATGCTTTAAGCAATTGATTAGCGGATTGTGCTTCGTTCTGAGAACTAAATTCGAGAATTACTGCGCCTTAAATAACAGTTTTAGTTCTCTTGCTTACCCTCATTATTATTTTAAAGTAAATTCGTGTTTAATGCTTCGTTCTCGGCTTCAATTACTGTTTATCTTGGACAAACTTCATCTGAAATTCTTCAGCGTCACAATACACTGACGCCAGAGAATTCGTTTGAGTTTCATAAAAATCCAGAAACAGTTTATTCGTCTAATTAACGCCCCTATTTCACCCCAAAAATAAAAAAGTTATAGTCTTACAAGCTCATTTCATTGTAACTAATAATGTTTCATTCACTTTTTGAGAATATATACATTTCTAATTATTCAATTTTTATGAATGTGTTTGCCAATCGTTTCAAGAAAATAATTCAGTTTTGTGAAAGCAAGTGAAACTTTTAAAAAATAAGTAAACAGCTGAAAGTAATAATTAAAATATTTTTTCTTCTAAAGAATAAGAATCTGCATTTGATTGCTTCTGCGTTGATCGCTTTCGAAACCTACAAAGTTTTGTTCAGAATTTAAGGCTGCTTTTTTTACCTAAGTCTAAATTTTACTTTGGCATGTTTCACTTGTAATTGAAAAACCTTTATTTATATCAGCTAAGCCAAAGTTTCATTCTTTTTCATTTGCTTTAAAAAAAAATTAAATTATTTGAAAAAAATTAAATTATTTAAAAAAAATATTTAAAAAAAAGGTAAATAAAAATTATGTAAAATTTATTCTTCTTAAAGCTGAACAAAATTGTAATTGCTTCGCAGAAATTATCTTGTTCCTCTTTAAAAAATGAAAATCTACTTTTTCCGAAGTGCCCACCAACGGTCGAGCGATAAAGTCGCTGAACACTGATAGTTTGGGGTTTGAATCCCTGTGAACTGGCTGGCTGCATGGCCATTTTCGTGGTGTTCTTCATGCGTAACCTGTTTACGATCCAGTTTCTCTTAGAAAGTCCTCTAAGAAGGCATCCTTTTCCTTAGGTAGATAGCTGTTGAGTGCTTTGTTATAATTAAATAAACTAAACTTTCGCCAAAAGGTGCAACTATTAATAATATTGCGTAATACTAATCGCATTGCTCCAGAATTAGAATATCTTGTAGAGACATTAGGTATTTTTTTGAAAGTAGGAGTGATAAAAAATAAGCAACACCCTCGCCTGGAATCGAACCACGGACCTCTGGAATACATGTCCAGCGTGCACACTACGAAGGCATGCTAAGAAGGCGAGAGAAATACCTTATATACTCAACCTTTTAAAGGCCGACTGGGGTTTTTAGTTCACCCAGTCGCCAAATCCTGGTTGTTGAGAATCATCATCTACCACCCTTTTTAGTTCGGGTGTCACTGTAGAGTCATTAGGTTATTGTTAAAGCAGGGATGATAAAAATTGAGCAAAGCCTTCGCGTGGAATCGAATCACGAACCTCTGGAATGCTCGTCCAGCGTGCTGACCACTACACTACGAAAGCATGCTAAGAAGGCGGGAGAAATACTTTATAATCTGTTTCCGTCAAAATTGAAAGTGATTAACAGAAGGCGGGAATAAGCAATATAAAAACAAGCTAATTTCATGTAACTGAAGTATGATGGAAATTCATAAATAGATGCAAATGGAAATTTTTACAGCTAAACATGAGTTTACTGTCCATTTTCATAGAATTTCGAAAGAATTTATATATTTTATGTAAATTTTACAAATACGAATATAACCCATAATTTAACAAGCGAAGAAGCCAAGTAAAATGTCATGAAACTTGTTCTTGTGATTCTTTGTCTTTACGAATCTATTTCGTACTGTAATTGTCATTTCTAAGTGCTTTATGCTATCTGTACTTTGGTTTGATACTCGAGGCATAAATAACACGACAAGACAACTTAAATTAAAAATTAAAATTATGTGTTTAGAGATTTCCAATATTTTATTAACTGTGAATCACAGATTGGCGAAAATGCATATAAATTCCAGATTTCAGGAAAGAAAATTGTCGAAAAAGGTAAACTTTTAATTTTTGCAGTTGATTTCCGTTTACTAATTACATTGCTTAGTAAATTTCGTTTGTTTTAATAAGATTTTGCTTATATTAAAAAAAGTATTGTATTTAATTACGAGATTTTTCTGAAATGAAACAGATTTCATTGAAATGAATATAGTTACAGTAATGTCCATTCAATCAGATTTCTTCCTATATTTACTTCTTTGTTATGTTGTCAAATGGTTTGATTATTACAGCAGCAAAATCAAAATATTGAGGTAGGTAACTTGGTCACATCAGTAGAATAAATATATTGAGAAATTTATTTGCGATTTTTCTTTACTTCATTTTATTAATACATTAGTAGCACATATTGTCAGTTAATATTTACTTACGACTTTTATTTAACACTGAAAGCATATCTCAGAAATTGTTGAATTAATTGGAAATACTTATATTTACAACTAATCTAATTAATCAAAAGAATGAGTTAATTTACATAAATTAATCAATACGTTTAATGGTTTTTTGATATTTAAAATCCTTCAGAAAAAATTTAAGTATAAATGGTAGACACTATTTTTAAAATATTTTTTATTCTTTAAATATAAATGCCACTTGATTTTATCCAAATATCTTAATGTAAATATTTATTTGGCAGTGAAAAATTAAGTTCCATTGATAGGGAAGGCAATTTATATCAAAGAATTAGAAGAAATAATTTTCATAAGAATTATGTACACTGCGAAAAAAAAAGGGACAGTTCTATATCTCCCGTTCTACTGGGCCGATTGACGAAATTCCACTTGAGGTTTTCATGTCTCGAAAGCTCGACTTAGAATATGTATTAGATTTATATATAGCATTGTTCTAAAATAGGTATTTTGTCACAAAAACGAACTTTTTCTGAAATGACATGCCAAGCTTTTTACATATTTCAAGTCTACGACTCAAATCACGCAGAACTGCCAAGTTTTGTAATAATCGCACGAATGGTTTTTAAAAAATTAGCTCTCAAAATTTTAGCTTCTCAGTGTTAATTGAGTTTTGTACATATTTATAAATATCTCTGTTTTAATCAAATTTATTTGATTCTTCCTTTCACATTTCGAAATTTAGTTTCATTCCATATAACATTCGCCCATTTTTTATGATTTATTTTTAAAACTTGTAATTTAAAATAATTTTTATAAATTTTTCGAAAAGCATTTTGAATTATAACCTATAAACTTTTTACCATTACCTTAAAGTGTGTGTATTTCTAAGCATACCTGCAAAAAATTAGAGTTTTTATATACAAAATTTCCTAAGATATACGGGAATTTACATTTTGGCACGTTTAGAAATTTGGCGAATTTATTATAAGCGATAATAACGAAAATGTGGTGTACGCACTTTATTAAAATTATTTGAAAGTATGAACGATGACTCCCACCCCGCTCTTGCACAAAGAAAAAAGGCAAAGGAAAACAGGTTACTGTAAATTAAGAAGTTCGCCATGTGAATTATTCTTGGCGCAAACTGAAATACATTCATCAAGTTAAAGTTTTAAATTTCTCACCAAAAATTACAAAATTTAATATCTAGGCGTAATTTAGGTCGTAGAATCGAAATATGAAAAACATTAGTATGTTATTTCAGAAAAAGACCCATTTTATGTCAAAATATCTATGTTAGAGCAATGCTATATATAATCTAATATATATCCTATGTCGCGCTTTCGAGATATGAAAAACGCTATTTGAATTTCGTCAATCGGCCCAGTAAGAACGAGAGATATGTTCTATTTTTTTTTCTTTCGTAGTGTACATGTAAATACAGGTATACAATTTCTTTTATTTCTTTGATTGTCTGTTAGATGTGAAAGCTTTCTTCCGAAGATTTATTATCAGTCTTTCGATATGCAATAAACCTCTTTGGAAAAAATAAGCAGTATTTTTTTAAATTTGTTACCACGTGCTTAAATTTGCTATACGTAAAATATTTTAACGGAGAAAAAAGGTTAAGAGATCTTAAATTAGGTTACCAAACTCATTTTTCTTTTACGTCTTTAGTGGCTAAAAGAAAGTAAAACATTTTTGCACATTTTTCTCTCCCCTGAACTGGAGCAAATGAGAAACTTCTTTTACCTCATCAGTCTTGAGTAAAACGTTTCCTTAGTTTTAATAATGAGCAAGACGGAGAGGAAAATGCAGTGAAGCAATTAGCTAATTACGAAATTCTAGACGAAATATTTTCGATTACTGTACTAAATGGATTATTTTTATTATGAATAAAGTAAAAATTACGCAATAATATGTTTTAATTAAAGCAGATAATTAGAAAAATTATGAGGTTGTAAAAAATCTGTATTTTACTTAATACCTTTCTTTTAAATAAGTTAGAACATAAAACTTTTCTAAAAAGAAATAATGGGAACAAATAACAAATAACACAAGCCTTAGTTACCGAATTGGTTAAGTAAGTTAAAGTTCACAAAGGGAAAATTTTTAACAATTCTCGTACCAAGTTATTATTATATTTTTAAAAATTTTCTCACTTCAAGTATGTTATGACAAATCTAATAGAGATCGATATGAAATGATATAAATTAGCGTAAATGAGTAGAAACAGAGATAAAAATAGCAACTATACTGAAAAAAACATGATGAAGTCTGAATGAAGTTACATATACGCATCATCACATTGCACTTCAGGTAGATCCAAAATCACTTTTAGTGTCCCATGTTTGTGAACTGACTCACGTTCCTGAAAGAAAAATCTGGCAGTATCTTGTGGAAACATTACATTTACCAAATAGCTGTAAATTTCTCAGTGTCTCAAAAATTCCGTTGTTAAAGGAAAACATTAAATGGATGTCTTGTGCCGTTTCCTTCCATTTTATAGGTTCTGGTATAAATTAAAGTACTTGTTCTCTTGTAATTTTTATCCTTCTTTCTTGTTTTTAATTTTTCTAGTTTTTTTTTTTTTTTTTTTTTTTTTTTTTTTTCCAGGTTACTTTCTTTTTTCCTGAGTATTTCGTTTTTCTGTATTCCCTTAAATCTATTTATGAGATTTCCCTTTAAACTTGCTGTTTGTACTTATGTTCCATTTACAACTTTTCTCGTTTGTGCTAAGAATGATATATTTTATTTTCTTGCAGGTGTTATTTTAAATCTGATAATGGATAACTGCTTTTGCCTAGAAACTTTTTTTTTGTGCACCTCGTAGCATTTCAAATTCAATTTTATTTTGTCCTCCAGTGGAGCATTTTGTTTTACATCAGTTTCTGTCAGTTTTGAGAATGCCATTCAATCAGTTTGCGACTAACCAGTTTCCTTATCTTTTACGATAAATTGTACGAATATTTTTATAAATTATATTATAAGAGATAACATATGTTGATTTGTAGTAGAATTAACTTCTGATTTAAAACAAAGTGAATTTAATTTAATGTTATAATAAAGTTCATTTAATAAACTAATTCGTTGGAATAATTGATGATAACACTTGATGAAGAATCAAAACACAATTTATTCGCCACTATTACATAAGACAGTTCCAAAGACACGTTACAGTTTTCGAAAAAGTACAACAAACACGCTGAAACAATCAGAAACACAGCCTTCAGGTTATCAGGCTATAACGGTGAAGACAGCTTCACGGCAAAGGACTAAAGTACAGATCCCGACTCGGTCGATCGCTCTCAAGCTAATCTCTGAACTCAAGTCACTACTACTAAGCTCAAGATACTGCTACTGAACACAATATACTACTCTCTTCGCGTACAGGTAGAATATATGTAGCTTTAACCTACCTTCGAGAACATTCCTGCGGAAAACCGATAAGAATGCGTTCTAGAATGTTCTCGCGCCGTCTACGGCGTGAACTGTCCCCAAATGGACGATTTCGCGCCAAATATGGCAACTCTGACTTTTCGTGTAATTTCTGGCAACCCTAACCTCGTTTTGCGGGGAAGCTATCTAACTCCAGCTGTACATTTGGCAACAATACTGAACGAATCACAGTGATCTTAAATGAATGAACGAATATTACATAATTTCCAGAAAAGCAAGATTTGTTTTTATTTGGATATCACTTGAAACTTAAACGGGTTAAACTTATTTTTCTTATAAATTCGCTGCCTTCTTTTTGAAAATTTGCAAAAACGCTGAGACACATGTAATAACAAATAACATTTCCATTGTAAGATACTTATTTTGAAAAAGGGTAATCATTTTTATTGAATTTGTTAATTTTTGAAATCATTTATTTTATTACAATGTGAAAACCAGTATTTTTAAGAACTTTTTTGGCACTTCCTCATTATTCATTCCTTCACAAAAATTTGCCAGTTCATTGACGACTTTGTGAACTGAATTCATTGATGACTTTGTGAATTGAAGAAAATCGTTTGTCTTGTTATCTTTAAGGTTTGTAAGTACTTGATTTGTTCATAAATGATTATGAAGTAGATGTTAAAGTAATTACTCTAGGAAACCAAATTACTGTATTGGACGGACCGAATCACTAGTTGGCCGAAAAAAAGTAATCAGCAAAATGAGAATTAAATGCAAAGCGCGTAAATTGAACGTGTACTCAGATACGTCTCTAAGTACGCGCAATTAAGGGTTTGCTATTGCAGTGCGTATACTAAAAATAAGACAAAAGCACAGCAATTGAATTTAATGTTAAAAGTGAAGATGCGCATAAAGTGAAGGTACGTTTTTTATATTTCAATAGTTTAAATATGATCTAATCGTGAAGATTCTAGAGCAAAGATTAGGTAGATTTTGAATCTAAAATTATTCCTTAACCTGAAATTTAAGTTTTTAAGAAACAAATTATTGCGTATTTTACAAAATAGGATAATAGATTTAATAATAATGCCTGAGAAGGAAATTACAGTTTGATTATTTTATCTAAGTCAACATTTTGTGTCATGATGATATTCGTAACAACAAATCTAAATTAATTTAAAGACCATATAGGTTTTGAAGTAACACATTAATCTCATTATGATTGAGGAAACGCAGAGGACGAAATTTATACTAATGACAACTCCATAATTAACTTCAGATTCTGTTATACATTGCTACAGTTAAAATAATTCAGTCTACCCCAATTCAAGACATTCCCAATGAAAGAGCTTCCTTACCCGCAACTGTGCATTTTCATGTTTCATACAGACACTTCTTATATTCCAGGAGTCAAGCCTTTGTACACGACGTTTTCAGCTGTTTATACCAGCTCTTAAACTAATCGGTTAATTTAAAAAAAAAAAAAAAAAAAAAAAAAAAATTGTTCTGCGAAAAGACTTAATTTGCGTAAATTTAGTATAATCAAGATATAATGTCATTTGTCAGAGAAGTAAGAAAAAAAGAGAAGAGGAATTGAAGAGAATTTTACTAACAAGGAATGAAAAAAAAGGATTTTTTCAATTACCAGAAATTGCATTCTATCTCTTTATTTCAATCAGCAGTCAATCATAAGCTCCGACAAATGGGGGAAACAACCTGAAAACTTTCAGATTTTATATTACGCCCAAGGGGGCTTTTTTTAACGTTTTGTGTTTTACCGTTATTTATTAAATATCATGTTCATTGCACTTAAATTATAAAATTCAATTAAACAATAATATCGCAAAACAATTTTAAAATGAGCATATTTTTAGAATTTCCAATACACAGTCTCGCGCGTTGAAGATATTTTTTTTTCCCTGTACAGAGTTGCCATTGCTCGCTTTGAAATCGTTGAGTTTCTTCATAAAAGACCCATAAATGCTTTATAAAATATGAAATAGATAATAAAACAAATTCCAACTTCGGGCTTCCAGATGCCTATACTCGGGTGGCGACGTACGTTATTCAAAATTGCATGGCTCTAGGTGCCGTTGTTTTATAACAATGCGAGAAACATAAATATATTTATGCAGATTTTTCATTATTAAATTTCTTTAAATATAATACAGGGCGATAATATTTGTTGGCAACAATTCGAAAAGTGATTCAGGCTTTTAAAGTGTTCGACGCAAAATGCCCAAACGAAATTAATAGCCCTTCTGGCCTAATACGTTTTGGGATAGAAAGAGGAAAAGAAAAAGAAATCTATACCATAATTAAATTTTTTAATAAAAATATTTATTTTATTAAATTTGTTTGTTTTACGGTTGATATTTAAGTTACATTCTAAAGCAATCGAAACGAGAGAAAAATGCATATATGGTAATAATTGTTATTTGATACGAATTCCCAGTGTTTGCAATATCCTTTCCAGTATTTCAGTGTCTTTAAAATTTTATTGCTTGTGTTCAGGGGCATACGAAATGCAAGACCCATTACAGTTGTGAGGATTAGACTTTCTCGATAAAACAGAAAAGATTCCTTTATGGCAGCTATGGGTCTTCCAATATATATAACGAACGAGACTGTACTGAAACGAATAAGAATCCTTTGTAGAATTTATGGATGGCTATAATGTTTTATATTGCATTTTGCTCCACTAGTTGTAAGTACGGACAGTTTTGGAAAGTAAGATAAATGTGTCTTCACAATAATATGATACTACATTTTGTCGATAGAGTTTTATTTGGCGTAAGTAGAGCATAATACACAGTGTTCTTTTTTATAATTGTAGAATGTTGAAAATTCTAGAAAAAAGCTATCTAAATGAAGCAGTTTATCTAAAAACGTTTGAATTTTTGCAAATATAGTTATAGCTTTGCTCAAAATGCGTGTTTACAAAACAATTTCAAAAATCAAAATTTTTGAAAAAGGTACACGTTTTTATTTAAAATTATCGGTTATAAAATGCAGTATCAAGGAAATACGAATTTTCTGACTAATATTTTTGCAAGAACTTGTTGATAACCATTTAAAGTTTTACTAAATTTCTCCAATAATAATAATAATAAAATTATTTTTTCTATCTTGCATATTGAAATGTTAGCTAAATTTCCTACTGAAAAGAAAAAAATCAGCTTCATGAATATAAATAATGCATTTTATCCTGTAGGGAAGAAATTTCGTGTTTTGTATTTTTCTGATTACAAGTAGTTCCATGGCAAGTTTAAAACATAAACGAAATTATTAATAGCAAGTTTCCATATTCACTTTTGTAACATATAATGCAACTATAATTGTTATTGTAATATATATATTGAGGTACTGTAATATATATATATATATATATATATATGTATACAATCTATCTGAACAATAATTATTACCGCTTTTGTCATTTTATCAATTTATTAGTTCAAAGGAGCGTTAGCCCAGAACAGCTATTAGCCTCGAAACAGCATTTTCCATCGAATCATTAAAAGCGTTGAATCACTTTTCAGATTGTCGCCACCAAATATTATCGCCCTGTATTATATATAAAGAAATCAAATAATGAAGATTCTGCAAGAATGTATGTATTTTTCTCGAAGTGTGTAAAACAACGGTACCTAGAGCCATCAAATTTTGAATAACATAGTCCTACACCCGAATGACGGTACTTGGAAGCCTGAATTTTGGTTTTTGAAATTGTTTTGTTAGGTATTTCGTAAAACGTTAAAAAATTTTTGATTAAAAAACTCAACGCTTTGAAAGCGAGCAGTGGCAATACTGTGTGAAATAAAACATTTTTATTTCTAGCATACGGGGCTGTCTAGCGGAAATTCTAAAGATATGCTGTTCCTAAATAATTTTAACCCAAAGGAGCGTTAGCTCAAATGCTCTCGAAACGTGCATGTATGTGCAAATGAAAACAAGAAACGCCCCTTCGGGCGTAATGTAAAATCTGAAAGCTTTCAGAATTTTTTTTTCATTTTATATTATCTCAAAGAATTTTCAAGAGCGGGGTTATCTGGATTACAGCAAAGTACTTAAGAACTATTTGCGTAAAGGAATGAATTGCTTCCTGGAGGACATTTAAATAGAAAATGACTCCTATTCACTTTGCACTTGGAGAAGCCATGGAACCTTCTAATCAGGGGTTTGAACCGAACTACTAGTATTTCGCTAATTATGATGGTTAGTAAGACTTAAATAATTTCTGAATTTGCCTAACTAAGCATAACTCTCAGTTTTAATTTTATTGCTATCGTTATTTTACCTCTACCTTGCTTTTCTACAGATAAAATACTGTTTGCTTTAGAATGCTGATTTCGAATGTTCTGCATCTTGTATATTAGAGCTATATTCTTTAATTGTTGATGTAATACCTTGAAAGTATTCTGTTTGTATTAGCTACATAACCGTATAAAATCACAATATATTTTATTTACAACAGTCTACCATAGTTCACATTAATGAAAGTATTTG